GCAAAAAGTTTTTTTCCGGGGGAAAAAAAAAAAATCCATATTTTTTCCTTCCATTTTTTTTTTAAATTTCCCCCTTTCCCTTTTTTTTTTTTTTTTTGCTTATTGTGTTTTATAGGCAACTATTTGTTTCACTTCGTGTCAAATACTATACTGCCGGTTTTCTTCTAACGTTTCCCTATGTATATTGTGATGTTCCTTGCCTCACATCTCTCCTCCCCCTCCTTCAAGAGTTAGTGATATCTCGACTCACAATCGTTTTCTTCCAGTATCGCTCGCCTCTCTCTCTCTCTCTTTCCAGGTTTGAATTGCTCTTTCTCTTATCTACCGTGTTCTGTATCTGCTTTTATTTCTATTTTGCTGTGTTTCATTTAACCTCCATGTTTGTGTATCTCTCCTTCTCCAAGGTTGAATTTTTCCCCCCTCTGCCGCTCTCTGTACTAAGTCCTACTTCCCCCCCCCCGAATATTATTCAAACTACCCGTTTTATATATTTCTCTTTCCAGAGTTGAAACTTTCTTTCCCATCTACCAGTCATACTGCTATTCATTTCTTTTTTATCGCATATTATTAAAACTCATTGTTACATAATTCTCTCTCCCTTCTACCAGTCTCTGTAATATGTCTCATTTTTTCTTTCCTCATATCATTGTATCTCATTTTGAATCTCTCTCTCTCTCTTTCAGAGGTTGAAACTTTCTCTTCTCTTTATCGTGAGGCCGGGTGTGGCTTAATGGTTAGCGTGTTCGGACTGTGAATCCGATTATTTGTGGGCCAATGCCGTAAAAATGCGTTAGGCACTTTGGGGTCGTGTGTGCATTGTAAAAGTGATTCAAATCCCACTATTTGGTCAGATAATAGTATCTCAAGAGTTGGCGGTGGTCCTACTGACTAACTGCCTTCCCTTTAGTCTATCGGTTAAAAACTAGAGATGTAGACATGGGTAGATAGCCTTTGAGTAGCTTTGAGCAAATATTCTCAAATAAACTAACCTCTACCATTTTTGTTATTTTGGTCCCATACTTTCTGCTGTCGAGTTTTGGTGTTTTATGTGTCTGACTCACAAAAGTTTGTCTTTCTTTGTTTCCCCCC